CGAAACACTGCATTGTGAAATTCTAAATGTACGCGCTTAACCCTGACCGCATCTCCTTGTAAAGTGTAACGCGTATTGTACTTTATTAACTACATGCATAAGAATTCATTTTTGCCTTCGATGTACCCACCTTGCTATCCATTTACCAACCAACATCCACCTCAATGCACTCCTTCACACATTCGTGACTTGGCATCAGACAACGCAGTTTGTGTGTGCATGCCAACGAATACTTCACTTTGTATGGTTTTATATGAACACGGTAGACAATGCAGTAATGGGCTTTGTCAAAGCCTTACAGTGTAGGCCACTCCACGTAAAATGGGCATTTATTCCTTTTCTCTCATTTATGTTCATTGATGGTGAGGAGACGAGAACGCCGCTTGTCATTGACACTTTCTTGTTTAAGCCATAACAGAGTTGGTGGACATGGAGAAGATCAGCTTACAAGAGATGGCTGATTAATTGCAGTGGGATTAGCCTAGTGGAATAGCAGAGACACTCACTTTGGCACTCACCGTAGCGATCGCAGTGCCTGCATGCATGTGAAAGAAGCAAAACCAAGTGAACAAACGAAAGTAACAAGTGATTGCTTGCGTTTTGCAATTTCCTAGATAGAGAACACTCGACTGTTTTGTCAATGAGCAAGTAAATGCAGATAGCACATCGAGAATCCCTACTGTATACTGCAGGGTTCGACTCCCCGAAAACCAATGTTCAGTGCCATCAGTAAACTAAAGTAATCCAAGATGTCATCATACGCAGGATTGTGCGAGTGGAACACGGACCTTAGCATAATCTCAGACGAGGTTTGACGCGTCGTGGGGTGTGAATTGTTCCACACCTGCACCTGATTGGCACAGTCTTGGTGCGAGTGAACTGGCCTCGCGAAATGCTCAGTAGTGAGTAGATCCACCAAGAGCAACGATGGTGCATAAAGTTATACATGTGCTGAAATATCCGCCTACCCATTCCTGTGGTTTGGCCATTCATCTGAGAAATATGCAACCATTTAAAGAGTCAGCCTGAGTAGATGAAATCACATGTATTTTGGAGCGACTGCTTGTATGTAGTGAAAAGTTTATTAAAAAATGGAGTGAGCCACACTATGACATTGTGACAAGGCATATTGCTGACCATCCTGAGGTGTTCATACAGAAAAACATGGAGTGATGTGATAGCTGGCGTGTTTGTTGGAATCTTTGTAGCCTTAAACCAAGTCATGGATGAATGAATGATTAAAGCAGTGCGATGAGGTGGGTGTGGATGAGTAGGTGCATAGCTAAGCGTGTGCATGGAGGCTTTGATGAATACTTGTGTGTGTGTGGCCACCAAAGGATTAAGGAAGTTCAAATTTACCGTGGGTCATGTCTAAACATTTACATCAAAATTATCGAGTTTCCTAGTTCATGAGGTCGGTGTTTTGTGCAAATCTATCCATTTTGCATTCCACATTTCCATGACTATCATCCCAGATTCGGTTGTGGTTTTGCTTACCCAATTCCTTTTGATTCTACTCTAAAAGCAATGCTGCAATTTCTTGTGGATCATAGGTGGTGCCATCCTAACCAAACAAATTGACATTTAAATTCGGAGGCTGCTGACGCAAGCGCTTCAAATGCGTGGCCCTGTTCAGCCAATCAGG